GGCAAAAATTATCCGCCGTTTTTTCGGGGTCATGGCTTATTGATTTTTTGCTAATTATTGTTGAAAAGGGCGGAAGTGGTGTAGTGACAAGTGGCGCGCTCACCACGCGAGCGGTCCGGGGATCAAATCCTGGGTCGTGAGTCGCCCGGGCCAACCAAGCCTTCCATCCCTCCGGGGTCGGTTAATTGGTACCAGACTTGTCTGGGAGGATAAAAACACTGACTTGAACATCGGCTGGCCCCCGCAAGTCATTGTATAGGCCACATCGCATTCAAACGCCACTACGAATGTACAAATGGAAGTAGAATGCGTGCCGCATCCCAAAAAGGGATTGATCAACGGCAAATGCTTTATCCTTTATCCTTATGTATTTTGAAGAATTATGAGTGTACGTCTGGAAGCGGCCGCACTTCTTATGCATTTTCATGTCATCACAGACCTACGTCACTTAATTTTGACTCTAGAGCTTACACGCAAGCAAAAAAAAAATTGCGCATGCTACATGCTCGACAGCGAATGCTGCTGTTTCTGCTCGTAGAATCAGTGAAGCCCGGGATGAAGGAACGGTTGTAGAAAATCCTGTTAGAGAGCGTTTACTGACACATTTACTGTTGTTTTTTGGTTTTGTCAAAAACTTATGAGAGAAATGAAAACGTCGGTTTTACTCAACCCATTTGAGAATTGGGGTCAAATATTACATGGCCACTCATATTTGTAACTTGCTTGAGTCGAATTCGAACACGAATTAGCTGACGTTTCACCGCTTTTGATCACAATCGCGCAATCGTCAATTCTTGTTGAACTCGGCTCAGCAAGGTCAAGTAAACTCAGCTGGATCTGCTGTGCAAATTATTTCTGGCTTTCTTTCGGCAGATTCCCTTTTGGAGGTATTGATGGAGCATTTGCTTGTCGGACAAATCGAGTGAAATGTAAGCTAATGCCCGATTCGCAATACGAGACATAAGTGCATCTCACAAAATTATGCGTGGCTTCAGTAAGTCCCCTAGCAATGAGATCGCTTGCACACTCACTTAGTACATCATTTTCTGAACAGCCAGAGTGATTTCAGAACAACGGTTCATTTATATTGCTGATAAATTCGTCTAAGTTACTGCACTTCTCCGGTAATGGTAGTGTTTGAAAGCGCTGTTAGGATTGTGGCATGTTATTGTTAGTGGACGGCAGTTTTGGAGAGAAAGCCATGATGGACTTTTCAAATCAATTTTTTTAAAATTGGTTCTTGCATCAGGAAGCTTTGCTATGATCTTCCAACCTCATTAAAGGACGAATTCACGATTAGAATGAAGGTCGAAGAAGGAGTAATTCACCTAGTTGAGGGACCCGCGGACCTCCTGAGGGTGCGGACTGAAGCGCAATTGGCACCGAAGGAGTTGACCTCGGCGACCTATTAAGGCTCAATCTTGGCGCGGTGGGCCAGTGCACGCCCACCGATCATCTGATCACTCGCCGCAGGTCTATACGTGGCGAGATATTAGAGAGAGAGCGTAGTGTTGAAGAGGGCACAGCGATGAGAGTCGCATCAATGCTCAAATCAACGGGCAAGGAAGGGGTCCCATTTCTCGGGTTCTGGGCCGTTTCTCATGGTTTTTCCTTCTTTCGTGTACCACTCACCATCCCTAGGTTAATTTGAAATGGGTTGCCTTTCCATCGTGAATTCGTCCTTTAAGTTCGAGGATGGCCTAACAGAGGTAAGAAAGCTGCGTGTCTAACAATGAAATCCCCCTCGTAGGATGGCAATTCTTGAATGGTTAGTCTTCTCAAGGTGCTTCGAAGAATGATTTCCCTAACAATTGCCAGTTGGACAGTTGTTTGAGTTAAATCTCTGTTTCTTGGACTGAATTAGTGCAATACACGGGGTGGTATCTACATGATGCTGTGGCTCCATCTAATCTCTCTCCTTCCTAGGTTATCAGTGTCAGCCTCATGAAGCACCAATGCCAGCCGTCCGATTCGGACAGGAACCCATTTATGACTAACATTGGGGTCTTGGCGGTGGAAGTTGAAGGGCGAATCTAGAGGGATCTGCCGTTATTGGAACGAGATTTATAGGTTTCTTAGCAATTCACAAATGGACAGTTGTATTACGTTGATAATTCTTATCGAAATCTACGCGTAAAAAAGTTATAAAATATAGGCGAAGTTGGAGCGTTTGCGTTTTTTTTGAGTCGGATTTGCCTACTTGCCTCGACACCGCCCCTCCGCTCCCATCTTACAAGGGAGGTCTTTCAGGGCAAGGTGCGCTTTTTGGAAACGGTTTAGTACATGTTGTAGGGACGCATGTATGGACCACAAAACCATGTTTCGTTTTCGCTGAACGGTTTTAGTAGTACCAAAAAAGTGGTGAATAATACTCTTGATGGTTCGATCCCCCGCGGCGACTAAATTTTGCAATCAAGGTTGGCGGCCACTTGTTGGCTTCAAAATGGTCCTGACGATGC